AGAGGGCAACGACCCCCCCCGGCTCCAGCCTCCCCCAGGTCCCCTCAGGGCTCAGGGGGACACACCAGCCTCACGGGGGTCTCCCTGCTCCGGCTTCTCCCCCCTCCACCTCGGTAGCCCCTCCCACAGCCTCTAAGCTCAGTGAGCAGCCCTGGTGCTTCCCCCCCAGGATGATGGATTAGCTGAGTTATTAACTAATAAGCAGGTCAAGTTATAGGATTAAAAATACTCATCATTCCCCCTGAACTCTGAGCCCTGCGTCTCCCCCCTTGTTTCCACCCAGCAACTGGGACTGGAGGAAGGACTGGGCTGTTGCTACCCCTTCCATCTGGGGGCTTTCCTTGCCCTCCCAGAGCCACCACACACAACAAATCACTTTCCTAGCATTTTCATCATCTGATGGATTAAAATCAGCTCCATGGACCCAGCAACATCAACATGAAACGTTTACCAAGCCCACACCCCTGCTGAGCATGTCTGGCAAACAAAGAAACAACAGGATTAAACCACATGTCATCTTGACCACCAGAGGTACCAAGAAGTGAACAGAAGGTGAGTGGACAAACATGAGCCCCTTCACCCGTGGGGTTCAGCCTGGCTACTCCCCACTGTTCGTTGGGAGAAGCAAGCAAAATTAGTGCATTTTTTTACTTTTCTTGGTGTCTTTCCAAGGTTTTGGTGGCTCAGGGCAGGAGCTGCAGCAGCTTGAGGCCTCCTCACAACCCTGGTCTGGAGCTGAAGAAGCCAGCTGTCCTAGAGCCAGGTGAGGAGACCAAGCAGCTTCCTCCTCCCTGCTGGAATCACCAGGAGCTTTGGCCCCAGGTTGATGCTGGGCAGACAAGCCCAGGATCCTGGATCCCTGCTGCCAGCCCCAGCTACCACCATTCCCAGGATTAACCTCCAGATCCTCTGCTCCTCACCAGCCCTGATGCCACCCAGCCCTGGATGCAGCTGGGGGGCAATTTTAGGGGTGAGGGGGAGCTACTGCAGACCTCAGCAAGTTTCAGGGACCTGCTGAGCAACGTTCTGCCTCTGCTGTGCAGCTGAGCTGCACCACGATGGAGAAGGGAGACAGGGACGTTCCTCAGCACCAGGATGGAGCCACGAGCAGCAGCTGCAGGAGTGCAAACAAGGATGGAAGGTTTGGCCAGGACTGACCCAGCTCCACTTTGTGCTAAGTACCTTGACTGCACCTCCAGGAAGACAACAGCTGGCTGAGGAAGATGGGAGCACACACACACAGAAGAGCAGCCACTAGCATAGCAGCAAGGACATGGTCTTTGTCACACCCACCAGTCTCCTCCAGTCACCCCACAGGCCCCCCCTGGCCTAAGCCAGGACTTACAGCACCTGGCTTGGGCTGGGACTTGTCACAGCCTCATTTGAAAACAAAAGCCCTGCTTCATATTGTATTTTTTTCCCCCTGTTTTTTTGCTCAAAACTCCCTCGGATGGTGCTGAAGGTGAGAGGCAGGAGCTACCCTGGGCAGCTCCATCTCTGCTGGGGGATCTGATGGGCAGGAAACAGGATCTGTATCACCCACAGGGCTGATCCTTCACACCAGAGACCTCACTGTGGTCCTGGAAACCTGCACAGAGGCAATTCTGTCACCATCAAGCCCAACAGCTTTCAATAACCTGTTGAATCACAGAATCATCCTGGTTGGAAGGGACCTTGAAGATTATCAAGTCCAACCATAACCTGACTCCCCTACCATAACCTAATTCCAGCGGAGACAGCTCAGTCTCTTTTTTCCTCCCTAAAATGTGCAGACAAGAATCCCACAGACCTACCTAGTTAGCTCTTTATCCAACTCTGCTTCTCTCCACATTTTCCTCCAGCGTTATCCAACTAGATCATAAAAAGTGTTGGGTCAGAAGGGACATTTCAAGGTAATCTAGTCCAACCACCCTGCAGTGAGCAGGGACCTCTTCAACTAGATCAGGTTGCTCAGAGCCACATCAAGCCTGACCTTGAATGTCTCCGCTGATGGGGCCTCTACCTTGTGGAGCAGGAGTCCTTCCCCAGCTTTCCTGGAGCCCCTTCAGGCACTGGAAGCTGCTCTAAGGTCTCCCTGGAGCTTCTCCTCTCCAGGCTGGACACCCCAACTCTCCCAGCCTGGCTCCAGAGCTGCTCCAGCCCTCCCAGCATCTCCGGGGCCTCCTCTGGCCTCTCTCCAACAGCTCCGTGTCCTCCCTGTGCTGGGGGCTCCAGAACTGGCCCCAGTTCTCCAGGTGGGATCTCACCAGAGCAGAGAGGCAGGATCCCCTCCCTGGCCCTGCTGGTCACACTTCTGGTATAGCCCAGGACTGTCACTCTGGGCTGCCAGTGCACATTGTTTGCTCATGTCCATCCTTCCATCCACCAGTTCCCCCAGTCCCTCTCAGCAGGGCAGCTCCCATATCATCCCCAGCCTGTGCTGATTGTCCCTACCCAGGTGGGCCCTGCACCTCATCAGATTTACATGGGGTCACTTCCTCAGCTTGTCCAGGTCCCTCGGCATGACATCCCATCCCTCTGGTTTCTCAACCACACCACTCAGTGGTGTCCTCTGCAAACCTGCTGACGGTGCCCTTGATTCTTCTATCTCATTAATGAAGATACTCATCAGCACTGGTCCCAGTACAGACTCCTGAGGGACACCACTTGTCACCCCTCTCCACCTGGACATTGACCCATTGGCCACTACCCTCTGGATGTGACCATCTAGACATCTCCTTATCCCCCCAACATCAAATCTGTATCTTTCCAACAGAGAAGGAAGTTGTGGGGACTGTGCTGCAGCAGCCCAGATGACATCCACTGCTCTGCCCTCCACTGATGCAGCCACTCCATTGCAGAAAGCCACCAGGTTGGTCAGGCAGGACTTTCCCCCAGAGAAGCCCTGCTGGGTGTCCTGAGTCACCTCCCTGGCCTCCATGTGCCTCAGGGGGATCTGTCTCCCAGGAGGATCTGCTCCATGATCTGCCCAGACAGAGGTGAGGCTGACAGGTCAGTAGTTCCAGCTCCTCCTTTCTACCCTTCTTAAAAACGGGTGCAGTGGTTCCCTTCTCCAGTCACCAGGGACTTCACCTGACTGCCAGGACTTTCCAAATGTCATGGAGAGTGGCTGGACAACTGCAGCAGCCAATTCCCTCGGGATCCTGGGACGCAGTTCATGGGTCTGTATCCAAAGCTCCTGATGATTCCCCAGTGCAGGGGAAGGAGGCAGCACAACCCACCCACGCCTGGCCAATGGTTTTTAGGGTGAGTGGGGAAAAACAAAGTCATCACCTTTGTCTAATAGATGTATTGTAATATTAAATGAAAGCTTAACAAAATTATTTAAGAAAGCCCCTCCCAGCCCTGGCCTCCCAATCCATCAGCACAGGCCATTTTAGAGACCTGCTCAGCTCAGCACGTGCCCCTGGGCCAGTTGGCTGGGTTGGGCCAGTTGGGTTCATGTTCTCTTGCCAGTCTGTGAGCAGCACAGGAGCTGATGCCCCTCAGGGAAGCAGAGCACACACCTGCCACAGGAACAGCCTCACCACACCCGACGTCCCAAAGGCAAATTTCTACTGGAAGCAACACAGCTGCACGACCTGGTAACTTCAGCCTCAGAGCTCCAGCAACTAAGCAGCACGTTGCCACCAAGGGCTGTTCAGATGCCATGAGAGCAAGGAGGTCCCCTGCAAGAAACACAGCCAAGTATCCAACAGCTCAGGGTCTTGCCAGAGGGTGCTCAGGAGTTTCCAGATCTCTGCTTGTGTCCTTGTGCTGAAGTGAAGGGTCTTGATGAGGATCACAATGCTCCTCATCCCCTCCCCTCCTATTTCAGGATGATGTGGTAGCTGTCATTGGTTTCAGCTGCAAAGGAAGTAAAGCTCATGAGCCACCTGCAACAGCACAGGAATCTGCTGGGCTGGGGGAATCCAACACAAGAAGCAGGAAAGGGAAACACCAGGTAGAGCCTGGGCAATTACTCACCTTTCATGGTGTCCAGAACAAAACATGATTCATCTTGGAAGTTCTGTATCATCTGAAAGAAGCCACAGAAACCAGCTTAGGCTGAGTTTTTACATTTAAACACAATTTAGGTTGTGTTTAAATACAATACAAAGGCTTTGTGCTCTGCCACTCAGCAATGGGCACAGACTGAGAGCACCAAGAGGGCTAGAAGCTGCTCAGGCAGGAGCTTAGTGCTCTGGGAGGTAGGAAAGGCACCAGCCATGAGTATTTATTCCTTCCTCCAGCTCTCCAGAACTGAACCAGCAAGCCAAGAGAGAAACTATGGGCTTCTGGGATGCAGGTCTGAAGCAAAGTCTTCCCACAGCAATTCCCCTCCCTGCTTTTATAGCAACGACAGAAGAAACCCAGGTGTGAAGGAGGGTGCGCACACAGGCTGGGCAGAGCTGCTCGTGCCTAAGAAACCTCATGGGTTTAAGTGAGGTGGCCTCAGCAGCAGAGCAGCCTCCCCAAGCACCAACATCTTTGGCTTGAATGACCAACTCCAATCCTTTGGAAAACAGAGGCGACTGAGCAGGGCCCTTCCTGAAGACCTGCCTGGGGGACCCATTCCCCAGTGTCCTGTGCAACCCCCACAGCTGAGCTCAGAGCAGAGCTGGACACCAACCAGCTGAAGCAACCCAGTGCAAGAGGTGGAAAGGGAGGAGCCCGTGGAGGCTGTTACCTCATCACTGATCAGCACGTGGATCCCGGTCGGACCTTGCTTGTAAATCTGGCTGATCTGCTGGGAAGAGATGCTGAAGAGCTGGGCCAGCTTCTCTGTCAGTTCCACTGCTGTCAGCTCCTCCAGGTAAATGGCATGGTACACTGCCAGGAGGAGACCTGTCAGAACTGGGCACCAGCTGCAGCTGCCACAGCCACACCAGGGCTGCAGCCAGTGCCACAAGCCCTATCCCAGGGAGCAGCTGCTCTGCCTGGGAACACCACAGCCCTGGGAAGGGACCTTTCAACACCACCTTCCCAAGTCCAGGCTGCCCCATCTATGTGCAACTGCAGCACCTCTGGTGTCTGCTCTGGCTACAGAAGCACCAGTTCTACATCAACAGCCTGCAATGCCTGCTCTGGTTTTATACAGTTTTTGCCCCAAAATACTTCTATTTAAACTAGCATCAGCTGAGCAGCATTTTGCACCATTTCTGGCACATTTCAACCCCAGCAGGATGGAAACAGTGCTCTAGCCCTGCCCCATGTGCCCACTCCAGAGGCACATCCTGCGGGGAAGCAGGAGGATCCAAACTGGAGCAGAGCAAAGGAAGGACAAGCTGCCTGTGCACTTGCTGCTCCAATCACAGAGGTGGATAAACGGGCGTCTGGCTGCCTGACAAATGTAGGTCACTCATTGTTGTCTGGGCAATGCTGGATTCTCACAGGAGCTCCTGTTTGTCAGCTCAGAACAGGCAACACCCCGACAGGCAGATTCTGCAGCCACCCCCTTGGCAGGCAAGGAGAAAAACCCAGGGGTTTAGACTATGGAAGTACTGAGGGCTGACTGGAATCTTCTGGCACCCAAGGAGAGCACAGCCCCTTGGGTTGTGCACAGAGGCTGCACCAGGTCACAGGTGACCTCCCATGTGAGCTCACTGCCTTTTCATGGACAGGAGGAGAGGGGCCCAGCAGCCCACCTGAGGCACAGAGCTGAAAACAAAAGCCACAGACCCTCTCTGAGGTAACACAAGCAGCCCTGGCTGCAGGAAGGGCCTTGCACCAGCCCAGAACCCACGGGGCAGTGGTGTGGGGATGAGGGGATTGAAGGCAACTGGTGTTGAGTGTTCATGGGCATCTGGAAACAGCCCCTACCACGTTCTGTCTGCTGACCTCCCTGGCTGTTGTTTTCCCCATTGCCCTGTTGTGGGTCCCCCAGCCAGGCTTTGAACCCCTTACCAAAAAAAGTGCTGGTTACTGCATCCCCATCCTCGTGCTTCTGCTGAAGGTCCCTCAGCTGCTGGGACTCCTGACACACGTAGATGGTCAGTCTGGGCCGCACCATCCTACAGCCAGAGCAGAGTGACACCACTGGGTTTGCTCAGGACACCTCAAGATCCCACCACTCTGCCTGCATTCCTCCCTCCCCAGTACCCTCAGAAGGAAAAAGAGATTGACCAACTCATCTCCCAAGAAAAACCACTGTGGTCATCCCCACCTTGCTGAAGCAGCAAAGGTTTCTGAGAGAAGGGGATGGAGCAGCCAGCATGGGGACAATGGCAGGTGGCTCCTGAGCAGCTAAACCAGAGGGTTGGGTTCCAAGGAGCAGCTCCAGCCGAGCTCTGCTCTCACACAGCTCCTCCTACAGGTCTCACTCTGCAGTGCCAAAGCCGGCAGCACCTCCTGTCCTTCCTGCCCTTCTCTCCCCAGCACAGCAGACCAGGCTTCCCTGCTATCTCCCGAGCCATCAGAGATGGGACATGAACCCCCTGGAATGCTCCCCAGCCACACCTGAGCCTCTGCCTGGCTGCAGTGGTGCCTCCTGAAATGCTCCAGCATTAAACTGTTAAACACCAGTCCCTGCTTCTTAGG